ACGATTATGTACGAAAAAATATATTAATCTATCCCATGTTGAAATTTTTCTCCGTTGCGTGTCGCTTCGCGTCGAATTTTCGTAAATATCAAGCCTAATATAAACTTTTTAAAATAATAATCGTGTCTATTGTATCGTTAAAAATTATTTCTTTATTTTTTACAAACAAAATAAATATATTGAAAAATATAANATGACTTGAATAGAGCACACTTTACATGGATAAGTTCAAAATAAGCAGATTGTTACTTGCTTTAACCAAAAGACTTAAAAGGGGACCTTATGGTCTTGGAAATTCAGTTTGGGATAAGACTTTGCAAGTTAGTAGTATACCTCCAGGGTGTCCACCGAGAAGAATTGTAAAGCACACTAGCCAGAAGATTCTGAGAAAAAAAGGCTCTAAAGCAGGGGTGGCCAACCTTTTGCATACCATGCGCCAATTTTTTGACAGACGAGTTCAGATGCGCAGTGACGTACCGTGAGTGTTAGCAGCCCGGGGCGGAGAAAAATTTCGGTCACCCGTTAATTATGTACTTTAATTTATAAGAATAAACTATTTATAATCTATAATTTATTAGAGAACTATCTTACACGGGTAGTTACGCCACCCGTAGAAAGTAGTTCTATATGACATCAGAGGTGTACGTGTACACGAGTGCATCGTGTAACATACAAGCAAATAAAAGAAAAAAAAAAGGTCAACAGATCGACTCTGCAGAAATGTGTATAGAGTGCAGTCGAATCCGGCAATGTACCTCGGATACGACTGAAGCGCCACTTGTAATCGTCCAATGCGCCCAGTTTGGCGCATGCGCCACGTGTTGGCCACCCCTGCTCTACTGTATATACTATATTCTACTATATAATTCTACTCGACAATTCTATTCTACTATACCATAATATTTGAATCGGTTTGGGAATGTTTGTAATTAGAATTAATCCACGAGTGGGATCTCAGAATGTTAATTGTATGACAGAATGGCAGTGTGGAGGAAATCTTCTTAACGATGATGTGTTACGTTTATTGAGTCGTCATATTAAACGATGGTAATTGTAATTTATTTCTTTAAATTAGTTTTTAGAATCTTAGTAATAAACCTTTATTTAGTGCATCAACTATTATTGCTATTCTTTAGGGTTTTTATGCATGGACACAACGCACTCAAGGAATAATTCTGGGAAGTGAACTTTATGGTTTTGTATTTGCCGAACTCGTTGGAGGGACCATTATTTTTTTATTCGGTCCAAAGAAAATTTTTATAATTTCTTCATTACTCTCTTCAATATTCTGCATTTTAACACCCTTTTGTACAGATGTTGGTGTTTCAGTTATATCATTATGCCAAGCTATCTTCGGATTTGGACAGGTAAAAATTAACTTTTATAATGCTATTGAAGACAGGAGAATAATAACAATTATTTTAATCGTAGGGTCTTGTATTTTACGGATCTTTTACACTGTTAGTAAGATGGAGTCCAGAAAACGAAAAGTCCACATTATCGTCAGTTTCATTATCTGGTATGCAAGTCGGTACGTTTGTTGGTTTAATTACGACAGGATATATCTGTGAAGACATAGGATGGCCTTTTAGCTTCTACACATTCGGTGAATAAAAACACACAAATGCTCTTGAAATGTATATATGTGACTATATCTTTTGTACTCTGTACATTTGACAGGTGTATGTGGGATTGTCTTTACTTTATGTGTTACGTTTACAGTTTATGACAGACCTGAAGAACATCCCAGAATATCTGACAAAGAATTGACGTTTCTTAACGAATCCGTAACAAACATCGCCTCAAGAGAAACGGTAATATTATTTTTTGCTGTAATTTATTTCGATTAATCACTCATAAATACATTTTTACTTGAAACAGAAGTTGAATATTCCCTGGAAACAAATTTTAACATCCAGAGTAGTATGGATATTAGCTCTGACGAAAATTTGTCTTGGTTTCGGTTACTTTACAATATTGACTAAGATTCCATCATATTTAGAGATTATTCTTCACTTCCCTCTCCAGCAGGTATGCTCATTTTTTACATAAGTATTATATCAACAAATTTATGTATTATTAATTAAAGACAGTCTGCCCAAAAAGGGGCCACCATTTATTTTTCGTGTTCCAGACTTCACATTCACGGCGACAGACCTTCCTTTACAGGCTACATGCCGCCAGAATTTAAAAACAGTCCTTTAAAAAACACAATTACATCTAATTAAAAAAACTTTTTTTAAAAAAGGAACTGGAAAAGCAGAAACACTCCATAGAATGAATGGAAAGCAAGACATCTGTGTAACACCAGTTCCTTTTTAAAAAAAAGTTTTTTTAATTGGATGTAATTGTGTTTTTTAAAGGACTGTTTTTAAACTCTGGCGGCATGTAGCCTATAAAGAAAGGTCTGTCGCCGTGAATGTGAAGTCTGGAACACGAAAAATAAATAGTTGCCCCTTTTTGGTCAGACTGTCTTTAATTAATAATAATAATCTCCATTAGACGAAAATTTACAAAAAAAAATTATGTATATTATCTGGGTTTTAGAATGGAATAATGAGTGCACTAGTTTGTTCCGTGGATTGTATAGCGATATTTATTTCCGGTTTCATTGCTGATTTCATGAATTCTTGTAAATATTTAAGTATAACTAATATCAGAAAACTTTGCGAAACAATTGGTAAGTAACTGCAGTCTTAGTTTTATAAAATTTCTTCTAAAATTTCAGTCAGAACGTTAATACGTATGTTCATCTTTCGACTGTAGCTACGTGTGGTCCGGCATTATGCATCTTAGCGATTTCATTTCTAGGATGCAAGAGTACAAATGTAATGATTTGTTTAATGATTGGAATGGGATGTTTTGGCTTTAATATTTCAGGAGATGTTGCAATAGCGCTTGATTTAGCTCCAGAATTTGCAGGTAAGTCATTATTTTTCTTAATTTTAACAATACACTGTATTCATTTAAATCATACTCGAAGTTTTTCCTGACAAAATGTCGAAGTGTGCGAACTGTTCTATAGAAATTAGGTGATAGTATACAGACAGCCAAAATATTGACTGGGCGTTCAGCATTTTTCCAGTGGATTGCTAAAATTAAAGAAATTTTTTTCGGTTCGGCCAAAATATGTTCGTAAGCATACACAACGGACGAAGTGTTGAAAAGCTCTATCTAATATATAATCAAGACGGGTTGATGATAATAATAATAATAATAAGCGCAGAGCCCAAACGGTTGGGAGTTGAAAGTTGAAATTTGGTACACAGATAGGGTATGTCACGAAAACGCACACTAAGAAGGGATTTTTCGAAATTCCCCCCGGGGGAGAGAGACAGGATTAAAACTTCTATATACATTATGGATACGAGCCCAAACGGTTAGGAGTTGAAAGTTGAAATTTGGTACACAGTTAGGGTATGTTAGGAGAACGCACACTAAGAAGGAATTTTTCGAAATTCCTTCCCACGGGGGAGAGGGACAGGATTAAGTCTTAACACTTCCATCAACAATGGAAGTGTTAAGTAACAATGGAAGTGCTAA